CTTAGATAACTTTACTAATTTACTTCTTTATGTATATGAATGTTTCTGTAAAGTGCCCTGAGACAACTTTGTTGTGAATTGGCACTATATAAATAAACTGAATTCAAAATAACCTCTCTCTTAATGTCAGCAAAACAAAGGAGATGATAGTGGACTTCAGGAAACAGAGTGGAGGTCAGCACTCCACCATCTACATAAACAACGCTGAGGTGGAGCAGGTCAGCAGCTTCAAGTTCCTCGGCGTTCACATTTCTGAGGATCTGTCCTGGATGTTACAAACAGACACTGTGGTCAAGAAAGCCCAACAAAGACTCTACTTCCTATGAAGACTAAAGAAGTTTGGTACAAACACCAGCGTCCTCATCAACTTTTATAGGTGCACCATGGAGAGCCTGCTGGCAGGCTGCATCACAGGGTGGTGCATGGACTGCACAAGTCAGAGCTGGAAAGAGCTACAGAGGGTGGTGCAAACAGAAGAGGACATCATTAGTAGAAGTCTCCACACCATCCAGGACATCTACCACAGCCAATGTCTGCATAAAGTACACAGCAACATTAAGGACCACACCCATCCAGCACAAGGACTCTTCCATCTATTACTCTCAGGTAGACGATGTAGGAGTTTGCCATCACGTACAAAAAGACTCAACGACTCAAAGACAGTTATTACCCTACCTATTATCCAAATTCGCAGAGTTACCTCTGCTTGTCAGACAGGCCCCCTCACTGTCGGTTTTCAAGTCCCGTTTAAAAACTCACTACTATTCAGTAGCTTTCAACACCAGCTGATCTGTGTTTTGATCCTGTATGCTCCACACTGGTTTGTATTCATTATCTGCATTGTTTTGTTTTGTGTCTATATTCTGATTTACCTCATTTTGTATTTTGCTTTGTGTGTTACCTGTTGTTTTGTCTGTACAGCACTTTGGTTGGCCTTGTCGCTGTTTTAAGTGCTCTATAAATAAAATGATATGGTATGGTATGGTATGGTATGGTATTATCCATAAGCTGTCAGATTACTGAACTCTCAGTAAATAACACTGAACAACTGGCAATAACATTGCTCCAAGCCACATCTGTGACAACTAATATGACTAATATTAGCTTGTGATACCTAATATGTTTATTGCTATTGCATTATGTTGCTGTATCATGTATGTATGTACATTACCATCATAATTCATCTCAATGTTACTCACTACCTGTGCAATAAACTGTCACACAACCTGTGTAGTTTATTTTAGTTATGTGCAGTATACATCATGCATATTTAAGCTTATATTACTACCTTGAAATACTTATTCATACAAATTTATCCTACTTGCACTATTAAAAAATAAAAATAAAAATTTCACTGTTATATTCTACCATGTTGTTGTTTACTATTTTTTTCTGTAGGACCTTGTAAATATTGTATTTACTTTTTCCCTTTTTTGGTACTTTGTACCTTTATTGCATGCTTTAGTATTTCTTGTTTGTTTGTTCATTGTTTTAGTGAGTCAAATCAGTTCTTCTCATCCTGAATATTTTATTGTATTGTTAACCTTGGGTTAACCTGCATATGATAAATAAACATAACCTGAACTAAGCATTAACCTTTAATTTAACCATTAAGCATACAATGTAATTATGACAGAAAATGGAGGATTTACCTACAGTTACTTTCGGAGAGATGAACATGTGGTAGCTACTTCCTTTTCATAACTTGTGATCAGCTGGTGGGGTCGGACCCTGGCTTTTTACATGTTTTCCAAACTGTTAATTTTGGAAAAGGAATAAACTGTATTCCACCCTCTAAACTCTCAGGGTAACACGTGTCTGGATTACATGTTCTCCACTGACACCGTTTAACCATTTTGTTGTGGTGATTTTTCACAAACCCCTCAAATAGGATATTTGACTGTAGCAGTGTTGCCAGGTGAGAAATGTAGGATTATCGGACTAGAGACATAAAATTATCGTATTGTGAGGGAAATTATCGTACACCCGTCATAATAACAAATCTATTGATACACTATAGTAGTGATGTGTCTGCTTCCAGACCGACTCTGCTTCTTCTCCTTTTCTTTTCCTCATTCAAGGGGTGGGCGCAGCGGACTATTCAGCCAATCATGGCTGTTGTTCTGAGGCAAACGCATACACATCACTCAAAGGCAACATTTAGAAAAGCACGACTGACTGACATTTAAAGCCAATCGTGCATCTGTTTGCAGACACAGATGCCTTCAGGGTTCACAAAAAAACTTTGACAGACAGTTGCGAGAGGCTGATGACAACCGATTACAACCACACATTCACAGAATGGTCAAAATATCATATATTTGGCATTTTTTGGGATAATTGATCGTACATCGTACAGAGGGCAAAATTGTCATACAAATACGATAATTATCATACACCGTTCAAATCCCTGCTGAAAACTCATCTGTTCTCACAGGCATTTCACACAGTGTAATTTGATCTAGTATTTTTTTATTTTTTTATCTGTGACCCTATGTTTTAAATGATTTTTATTAATTATTCAGTTATTATTATTAGTGTATTGTATTTTTTTTCTCTTAATTTTACTCTCACTGATTGTTGTTGTTAAGCACTTTGATAACAGGTTCTGTTTTAAATGTGCTCTATAAATAAAGTTGACTTGACTTGACCTGGCAACACTGGACTGTACAGTCCAGGCTGCAGCCTCAGGTAAGGGGTGTACCTTTGGGAAAAATTGAGGTTACTGATTGGTCATTTGCTGACACGCCTACTGGACTGATTGACAGGTCGAGCAGCAGATCCCACTTGTGGGAAAAAAAACAGAGCTGCAGCCCGGAGGAGGCAGGGCAGCCCAGGAGCAGCGGTAGCATGTTCTGTTTATCCATCCATCCATCCATCCATTATCTTTACCCGCTTATTCCATTTTGGGTCACGGGGGTCGCTGGTGCCCATGTCCAGCAATCACTGTGCGAGGGGCGGGGTACACTCTGGACGGGTCGCAAGTCCATCACAGGGCCACATAGAGACAAACAACTATTCACTCTCTCATTCACACCTAGGGAGAATTTAGAGTTACCAATAAGCCTAACATGCATGTTTTTGGTCTGTGGGAGGAAACGGGAGCACCCGGAGAAAACCCTGCATGGAGAGAACATGCAAACTCCACCCAGAAAGGCCCCTGGACCGGGGTTTGAACCAAGGACCTGCTCGCTGAGAGGCAGCAGCTCTACCAGTTGCGCCACCGTGCTGTATTCTGTTTATATGTTGTTAATAAAAAGTTATGAAAAAATAAAAAATAAAATAAAAAACAGGGAGGGCCGGCCCTGCAGCCCACAAATCACACCGGCCCACCGGGAATTCTCCAGACCCTCCTGATTGGTCACTTGGGGCCTGTCAAGACACAAGAGGATACCCCACTCTTCACAGCCACCAAGACAAACATGTATTGGGCAGCTGTGTGAGTGCCCCAATGTGATGAGGATAAACGTTTTGGCGGCATGAAGCTCGTTAGCCCATTAAAAAAATAAAATAAATAATAATTAAAAAAAAAATCCAATTAGCTGCAGCATATGCGTGAAAAACGTAGCGGCTTATAGTCCGGGAATTCGCTTTAATTTTGAACTTTGCTTAGGAGTTACTTTGTTCTTTTGTCTTTATGGTCCTGCTTTGACTAGTTGTTGACAGATGTAAAATATATTTATTTACACTAAAGCCATCCAAACCGCCGTCTACAACTTGTAGAATATGAACTATTCCAGACTTTTAACAGAAACAGCCAAACAGGGCTTTAAATGTTTCACAACCCACAGTGGGAATAATGGATGCTAGTGTTGTTGTTTTATTATTTTTTATTCTTATTATTGCTTTTAGAATCTAATAGAAAGATTGTATAATACTACTACTACTACTAATAATAATAATAATGTTTTCGTTTGCACGAGGCTGTTAGTCACAACATATGACCCGTGTTTAAATATGGGTGAAGTGGACCGGACCGGGACAACCCAGTGGGTGCTGGACAGAGGTGGTTGGGACCAGTGGGTGGACACCTCCCTCCTGATCTCGTTAACGCAGCGTCCTTACTCCACACACACACACACACACTGCTTACTCCAAGGTAAGGCATAATCAAAGCTTTACGCGAGCTGGTAATCGTAGAATTTATTTATTTATTTATTTATTGATTTATTTATTTTAAAGTCGTATGTGTACATCTAACGGGCACGTGCGTCGAGACTGCTGCGCGCGGCTTTTCTGTTGAGTGGCTCTTTTAACCGCAGCGGATTTACGTGCGTGTTTGCTGCGCCCGCATCCTCAGTGCAAGTTTGATACGTGAGGAACGCGACGAAATGAACAACTCCGATAGTTCTGGTTGACACCCAATTGGCACACAGCGCGTTTATGTATTTATTTTTATTTGTTTATTTTTACTTGTTTATTTATTTATTTTGGCACACAACGCACGCACATTTACATATTTTGTCCATGCGGTGAAACTGAAACCACGTTTATTTATAGGGAAGGTAAATGTGATATGCCTAACTAGAAATAACATAACAGGTGTTTTGAGAGCGTTTTTTTTTTTTTTTTTTTTTTTCACAAACCCCCTAATGTTGTACACTTTAAATAAAGTTTGCTTTGAACATAAAATACGATTTCATGGGAGAATGATCCTGTTCTTATCTGTATTTAAATTGAACTCTAGTTATGTAGCCCCATACAACTTTTATAGTTCAATCAAACAATATATATAAAAAATAAAAAATAAAAAAAAAAACACAGTCTTGATAGGATCCACATCCACAATTGAATGTGGCCATAACACTTTCAGCAAGACCCGTTTGGTTCTACTCATGTTGCAAGGCTGAAGTAAAACTTGGGATGTTTTGTGAATGTGCAAAGACGGTGTAATCACTTTTTAAATAACTCTGTGGTTTGACTTTATTGCAGCATGTTACATTTGATCATATAATAAATTCATAAAATGTCTCTTCTGTTTTGCCATCCCTAGATTTCCCATGGCAGCGGTGGATCAACATACCCACTTTGTTTTTCTTTTATTACTCCCTATCCTCCCTCTAACATTTGCCATAACAGGTGACCTTATAATCAACACCATACAGGGGAAAGTTCAAGGGAAATTGCTTTCAATCCCAGGCGGTGAAGTTAGAGCATTCCTTGGAATTCCTTATGGAAAACCACCTATTGGAAAGCTGAGATTCAACGCTCCGGAGGCAGTAGAAAAATGGGAAGGTGTGAAAGAGGCCACCAAATTCCCAAATACCTGCTACCAGGTTCCTGACACAACGTTTACAGGTAGGACTTGTGCATACGCGGACAAGATCAATACATTCAGGATGAGTTTGTTGCTCTCAATTACTTGTTCAAAGCTCAATAATTTACTGCATTTAGTTATTATTTAGGATGCCTCAGAATTCTCTCAGTGTAGCAAATTATAGACCTCATTCACACTGCTCTAGATTTAAAATGAAATAAAATTAATATATGCGGCTGCATTTGGACCTCGTATCCACACAAAAGCTGAGTTGTTGGTGAGAGAAACTGATAATTTGAAAGAAAAAAATAACAATAAGTGGGAGATTTTATTATACTCTGTGATAGAGCGAAGAGGGGGTAGTAAATACCCTCTCTCCGTCCGTCTGTCTGTCTGTCTGTCTGTCTGTCCATCTTGTGAGCTGGATAACTTGAAAAATAATTGAGGTACCAGCTTCCAATTGGGTGTGTGGCTGCATGTAGGCGAGAGGAAGGTCACTACTGAAAACAGGGTTGCCACATCAAAATCAACCACCATACAGTAAATCAGCCAAGTCAACTTGTATTATGTGACTTTTAATCACTTTACTCATTTTTATTATCAGACTGTATGCTTGTTTTGTTGTGTGCACAACACTTTCGTCCTGTGGGTGTTTAAAGTGCTCTATAAATAAAGCTGGTATGGTATGGTAATCGTTTTAGGAAATATGCTTTCTAGTTTTTAATATTGCTTAAAGTATAGTTTCCACAAATAAATGGGGTAGCAGAAGATTAATCAGTGGTGGCCAAGGCCACCAAAGGCCACCCCCTGGCTCTGCCATTGCCCCTGGCGGTGGATAGAATTGCTCCCTCTGCTTGCCAGTATCCATCACTGTGTCTTCCGACAAACAAAACAAAAGAAAAGCAATCAAAACCTACCTCTTTTTTAAACACAGTGTAACTCCTACCCAATTAAATATTTTGCACCAAAAAAAACATTTAGGTTTACTGTTGAGTTACATTCCCTTTTCAACTGTAGTCAAGACAAAAATAATCTTGAAAACTACAAACATTCACAGATCCAATCCCTCAGCGATGGGGGACATGAGCGTACCACTTGTTTTAAAATGGGTACCTGTGGCAGATGGCTTCTTTTTATAGCCAAAATGTATGGGTACGAAGTGACCAAAGCTGCAATGGTACAATAATGGTACAAAAAACAATAATAGACTCAAATGAAAATATGATTTTAACAGCTAAAGTCAGTTTGAATTGTTTTATATAGCAGTGAACCTTGTGAAAATGGTTTTAATTTTACTCTAATTAGGCCTTGCTTAGGAGTTCAGTTGACTCATGATCTTTTTTTTTCCTGACTCCAATGGCTTTTGTTCAGCTGTCTTCTGACTGTTATGCTTAAACATCTAAAAAAAAAAAAAAAAACTATAATATACTGCTTATTAAAATTATTAGGGGTACGTGCTGTCAGTATTTACAAGAGCCAGTGTAAAATTAACAGGGAAGGTATGGTAAAGATAAAACAGTTAAAAGATGGTGCAATAAACTGCAGACACTCCTGTTTTCAGAACTTACACGAGAAACATCCATGGCTGTGATAATTGTGGAAAAATTCCACACTATTTATCTTTGAAGAAAAAAGTTACATAATGATTTGTAATATCAAACAACTTGTAACAAGAGAAAAGTTTGGCAAGGGCAAAAACCAGTGGAAACCACAGTTAGAGGAGCACTCTGTTGTGTTGTCTGTATCACACAGTGATTGTTTTTCTAATCAGTGTTAGAGAAACTTTTTAAAATCTTTGCTTTTTTTAAAACTACATAACTTCTAGAATGAAATCTAGAGATCGTTTTTAAAGTCAATTCAGTTAATTTATATAGCACCATATCACAACAAAAGTTATCTCAGGGCACTTTACAGGAACATTCACACACATAGAAAAGCCAATTAGTAAAGTTCTCTATCTAAGGGAACCAGCAGACATGTTGAATCTTCACTTTGTCACAGTCTCCCATCCTGAGCAAGCACAATGGCAGCAGTGGAAAGAAAAAAAACTCCCTTTAACAGGAAGAAACCTGCTGCAGAACCAGGCTCAGGACATGTGGTCATCTGCTTCAACCTGCTGGGTTTGAGAGGACAGGAAGGAGAGACAAACACAGAATGGCAGACAGATATATAGTAGGTGCAAGCGTACCTGAAAGATTAAAAAAAAAAGGCAAGCATAGGCGTCGCAACCATTATATGTGAAGGGGACATGTCCCCCCCCACATTCAAAAAACGTTATTTTGGAGAAAAGAAAAAAAACACACACACACACGTTTACTATGAAACATTAGTTCAGTCGGCGCAGTTTCTTTCTTCATGAACAAATCCATTCCACTTCATTAATAGGAGAGTACTCAAGCCACTAAAACTCCACTCCAGGTTTTCCTAGTTACCTCCAACTCTCCACACGGCGCCTGCAGTGTTTCTGTGCGTCTCCTCCTGCCTCGGCAGAAAACGCGCACAGGTGGAGGAGATGGAGTCACCTCGGTGTTGCTCTCTCGCCAGTTTAGCAAACTTTAGTGCGGGCAGTTCTTGACCAGTGGGGTTGATCATAAACACATATTCATGTTAGGAGGATGCTTGAAAGGAGCGCTACATCTGTAGCATCTTAGGTGGTGCAGATGTAAGAGACGCTGAGTGTTCAGGTGCATTAAAGTTGAAATGTCTTTAAAACTCCACACCTTATTGTCCTCAGGCTTCGTGAGAAACATAATTTAGATGAGTCGTGTTGAACACAAGTAAAAATGTCTAGTGGTGATGTTTTTTATTTCTCTTTTCTTTTATCACTCTTTGTCTTATTACAAAGACAAAGAGTGCCAATCTGACGTTCTGTATTAAAGTGTATTAAAGTTAAAATGTCTTTAAAACCCACAGCTGAATTTATACAAACTTTGTGAGAAACATGTTTAAAATGTGTGGAAGTAAAGGAAATCTAGGTGAAATGTTGCTTTTTTTGTTCACTAGTGTACAATTTTTTTACGCACGCATACACGCGCGTGCACACACACAAGCGCATCATTGTTTCTCCCCCACATTACGGATGCTTCTGACGCCCTTGATGTCAAGGATAGAAAAAAACAAAAAACAAATATAAAACATGTTGAGCAGAGTAAGTAAAGAAAAACATATTTAAAAAAAAAGTAGTCAGTTTATCCTCCGGCAGTCTAAGCCTATAGCAGCATAACTAAGGGATAGCTCAGGAAACCCAAGCCAACCCTATCTATAGGATTTAACAAAAAGGAGAGTCTTAAGCCTAATCTTAAAACTAGAGACAGTAAATGCTTTTGATAAACTCTTATTTTACTACTGATTGATAAAGTATAGTTGGTATGTTTACATTAAAATGTATGTTTCCAGTATGGTTGTGTTTTGGCAAAGATTGCTATTCAGTTTAAAATATATATATCTCATATTTCAGAGTCAGAGTCAGAGTCAGAGTCAGAGTTTCTTTATTGTCATTCGCACCTCATGTGGTACATGTGGTGGAGCGAAATTATGTACACAGGGTCCCAGTTACATCCAACAATAAAATGTATAAGAAAAACAGTAATAACATCTAAGATATGAACTAAGAAAAACATCAACTAAATATACACTAAGCACTCATAACATAAAACATTGAACATCAGCACAAACATGAACATGAGTCTGTGAGCAGATGAGCACGCATGAACACATCAACATTGAAGCAGATCAGCAGCAACATTTAAACAGATCAGCAGCAACATGATGTGATTTTTCACAGCGATTATTCTAGTTAGAGATTCATGAGTCTAACAGCCTCAGGGTAGAAGCTGTTCCTCAGTCTAGTGGTTCTACACTTAATGCTCCTCAACCTCCTTCCTGAGGGGAGTGGGGCAAAAAGTGTGTGTGTTGGGTGAGTGAGGTCCTTCATGATGCAGGTGGCCCTCTTCCTACATCTAGAGGTGTAGATGTCTGTGATGGTCAGGAGGCTGACTCCGACAGTCTTCTGTGCAGCCTTCACCACTCTCTGCAAAGCTTTTCTTTCTGCAGCTGTGCAGCCTCCATGCCACACGTTGATGCTCGAGCACAGGATGCTCTCCACTGCACACCTGTAGAAGGAGGTGAGGACTGAGCTTCCCAGACCAGCTCGCCTCAGCCGTCTGAGGAAGTAGAGTCTCTGATGAGCTTTCTTGATCAGGCTGGTGGTGTTGTTGCTCCAGCTGAGGTTGTCATTCATTTGTACACCCAAGTACTTGTAGCTGGAGACCACTTCCACCGCAGATCCTTTTATGTTCAGGGGGGTGTAGGTGTATTTGTTCTAAACTCCCAACCCATGTTCTACGTTTCTTTATTTGCTTTTCAGGCAACTTTACCTTTTTACTGGCTTTTTTAGTAGATTTAAACGCAACATGTAAAATGATCTTAATGAGGAAAATTGTAGCCTTATGATTTTGTCTCAGTTAAATTATATAAGAGTCACTGTGAACTTTTACACTGTAGATTTGTGGAAGGGAAACAGTTATAAAACTTCATATCACACAATCTTACACACCCACACACTATGCTGTGCTTGTAAATGAGTGACTAAGAGCACTAGTTGTAAATTTTCATTTGTGCATAAATACGACAACGGTAAAATATGTGTTTCTTTGCATTTATTATACATCACAAGCAAAACAAATTATGAAACTGTAGTCCCTTGTCACCAAAGAGGTGGATGGCGATGAATGATAGACTAGAATCAGATCTCTGCCAGAGATTGTTGGAAGTCTACTGAAACCAAAGCAGGCATGTGAAACATCCCTGAACTTACTCCAAATCTGGATATGACACAAAATATAAATCAGCATAAAATAATTAATATTAAACTGGTGATTCTGCTCTTACGAACTCATGTATTCAGTTACTTCCTCTGATTGAGAGCTATATGCCATAAAATGGTAATTTGCCAGTCTTCATTCAGCTTGTAAATAATGTAAAATAATATTTGTAATAATGGTTTAAAATTAGCAGAGTCTAGTCTAAAGTACTTTTTTTTTTTAAATATGGTGCAGTTTTACTTAATGCTTACTGACAATATACTTTTCTTTTTTTCCCCAGGGTTTGAAGGTGGGGAGATGTGGAATCCAAACACTCCTCTAAGTGAGGACTGCCTGTACCTGAATGTTTGGTCTCCAGTTTTTAACAAAACCCAGTCTACAAACCTTGCTCCTGTTCTGGTTTGGATCTATGGTGGTGGATTTAGCACAGGAACAGCATCCTTGGATTTATACCATGGACACTTCCTCAGTAAATCGGAGGGTGTTGTTGTGGTTTCTATGAATTACAGGTCAGAAGCTTTCTAAAATGAAGAAAAAACCTCTTCTTCTCACTCTGTCCTCTGCATCCTGTGTCCTCTCTCCAACTATCTCCATGCATCCATATATCTCATCTTTGTCTTTTTCCTGACAGCTGCATTTCTTCCATCCTTCTACTATCATGTCTACTGTCCTGGACATGTCAAAACTGTCTGTTTAATTTTAGGTGGTCTCTCTAATTTTATTTCCCAGTTGTTTACCCTGTGCTGTATCTCTGAACTCACTCCTAATCTTATCCGTCCTTGTTCCCAAAAGTTTTAAAAAGATAACCACAACATCTTCATCTCTGCCACTTCCAGTTATTTTCCATTTTTTTGTCAGTGCCACTGTCTCCAGACCATACAACATAGCTGGTCTCACCACTGTCTTGTAAATCTTTCCTTTGACCTTTGCTGACACACTTTGTCACAAATCATTCCTTTTCTCCATCCACTCCATCCTACCACCACACTCCCCATTTTTTTTTTTTTTTTTGGATAGTGGACCCCGAGTCCTGCAAAGTCCCTGGCTTTCCTTGAAGTCCAACACCTTTTTGACCTCTGCTCCTTGTAGCCTCACTGTTCCACTGGCCTCCCTCTCATTCACACACATGTACTCTGTCTCACTGTGGCTGACTTGCATTACTCTTCTTTCAAGTACATACCTCCACCTCCCCAAGTTCTCTTCCACCTGTTCTCACCTAGGGGTGGGCGATATGGCTCAAATATAATATCATGATATTTTAGCGCATTCTGATGATAACAATAAATTTCACGATATAAAAAACCCCAGAAATCATAGTTATTTATTTGATAAAATTAACTTAACATGTTGTTTTGCAGTATTACATAAAATAAAAAACAAGGGCAATTTTACTGAAATTACTTTATTTAGTAAAGTATTCAGTCTCCAAGTATAAAATAAATAAAAAAAATTCCTTCTGTTATTTCGATTGAAAAAGTCTGCACAAATAGATCAATAACTCCACCACAAAAACTAAAGTGCAGGTGAAGTTTCCCAAAACAACTAAATAAAATGAAGCTCAAGATCTGTTAAGCATAAATGTATCATACAACAAAATATATGTTGCTTTAAATGAGCTATGACTTCCAGAACTTGTAACAAGGTGATTGTCTGACCCTGAATCTTGTGGTGTTTCAGCTTCCTCTGTTCCTGCAGGAATGATTCATTTCTCTGATGTTCTGTCTCTGATCACCTGACTCTGTTCGTGGTCCATGGACTGTGGAACTAAGAGACAGTTAAGCTGCGCGTGTTTGAACCGGCAGTTTAGAGCGGGGGAGACGTAGCCCACACCGGATGCCAGAGTAGAGTGGGGAGAAGAAAAAAAAAGACGAGTGGCAGCTTAGAGCGGCGGGAGAGACATTTGAGTTGTCTGTACCTGCAGTTTAGAGCTGGATGGAGAGACAGCTGAGCTGTGTGTTGTTTGTTTTAAGCGTTTTAGCTAGCTAGTATTGCACGCAACTAATTAGCATCACACCAGTACTGACAGGTGGAGAAGGGGTGCACAATTCGGTGTGGTCGTTCGGCGTGCTTGGTTCTGTTAAAGGGGCGGGCGCCCTGACGTATTACGTCATGAAATTAACATATCATGATATCATTTTTTTGCCCGGGCAAGCTATTTTTTACCGGTAATATTGTGAACGATATGATATGGCCCAGCCCTATTCTCACCACAGATCACAATGTCATCTGCAAACATCATAATACACTATGATTTCTGAAAATATCCAAGATCCCATTGATAATGGAAAATATTAATCTTTTTTTTTTGTGTGTGTGTGTTTGGTAAAATCCAGTCATTACTTAAATATTTCCTCAGAACAACATTCCACTTATTGTTTGTTCTATAGTGTTTTGTTGTGTTGACTTTAGTCATCATTTTTTCTAGACCGGCAATTACAGTAACCTATAACCTATATTTGTGCCACAAAATATCATATTGTGTCTCTGTGGAATCAACTATAAAAAAAAAAAAAGTACAATTGTATTCTGTAAGAATTCCCAGAATGTACTTAAAAATGCCTAAACATTTTTAGAAACCTTCTCTGTAAATATAATAGTGAAACATTTTCAACTAGTGACATTAAAAGGGTGTTAGTTATGTTGATTTTAGATGTTAATGTTTTATGAAATAATTTACTGTTTGAATAAATCAATGTACTATTTATAAACACTGTTTTACATCATGACATGACAACTATCATGAGCTTTTATCACAGGGTTTACCTTATGAAATATGATCTGCTTTCACCATTCAATTCATGGTATGAATTATCAACGACTTCCTCATTTCATGCATACAAATAATTTGTAAGTATAAATAAAATATTCAGCCAGCTTAGTTGTTCAGTTGCTGTTATCAGATGATACAGAACCTTTTTTCAGACTATAATGCTTTTAATCATTCTATTCTGCAAGCTTAAAACACAAAGCATTCATATATTAAAATTCCTAAATGTAACACAAAAACATCCACCTTAGTGTTATTGGTGCTGCTCTCACTGCAAACATGATGTCAGTACATGCATAATGTTGCTTTTTCAAATTTTCCAAATGTAGTTATAGTAAATTAAACGTTTTTTTTTCTATAATACAAAGAAAATCTACATTTTACAAATTCCAGGAACACGTTTACATTCTTATTTTATGCACATAACTGTGCAGTAAAGCTGAAAATGTACATCTTCAAACTGCATCAGGTAATGTCAACAAAAAAACTTTACACTTGTTTTGAGAACTTCAACTGAAATGTTTCGATTAATTACAAAATGTTATCAATTTACATGCAACATGACTTTATTTTACATTATTACAATACAACAATATTTAAAACTGTAGGAAAGTACAAACCCAACAAACTCCTGGAACTAACAGGTTTACCACACTTTTCAGACATAAAACAGTTAATTTTTCATAAAAAATGCATGACAAGAGTGTTTTACAGTAAAGTTTTTTTGTTGTTGTTGTTGAAAAAAGTAAAAATACAAATTACTGTTTTCCATGATTGATTTATTTATTGTAACTTTACAACAAATTAACTGTTTAAAACTGTTTTATAGTTAAAAAAAAAAAAAAAAAAATCCTGTCACAGTTGTACTGTTTTTCACCATTAAATATGATTTTTTTATATTTTATATTTTTACAGTTTAATATGTTAAATTTATTTTCTGAAAATCTTTATTCTTGTCATTATAATTCACAGAGTGGGAGCTTTTGGCTTCCTGTCGCTTCCTGACAACAAACACATCCAGGGCAATGCTGGACTTCTGGACCAGCGCCTGGCACTCAGATGGGTGGCCGATAACATTGCTGCATTTGGAGGAGATCCTTCAAAGGTAACAAACTTTCATGTTTTAGATCCTGACCAGGAGGCAGTTAAACCGCAAATATCACAGCACTTTTGGATTCTGATTTCCTTTTGTTTTTAGGTGACTCTCTTTGGGGAGAGTGCGGGGTCAGCGTCTGTGGGCTTCCACATTCTCTCTCCAGGCAGCCAGAGTCTTTTTCAAAGAGGTATAATGCAGAGTGGCTCACCAAATGCACACTGGAGCACAATCAGCCAGAGTGAAGCCAGGGACAGGTATTCTTTGTTCTTATATATACATAATATACTATACATGACGTGGCCTGTTGCATTTAACTTCAGATGGTTACATACCCTATCTGTGTTCACGCGATCAACCACAGTCAGATGGATTACAAAGAATGTGCACACCAGTGACATGCGGTGAGGTTTGACAGGTGAGCCACTGACTCATCTGGAATCGGATGCTCACATAGATGAACCCAAAATAGAAGCTTATATTTCAATCGAGCATGTTTTTCTTTTAAAAAGGCATCTAATTTTGCTTTAATCAACTCCACTGTTCAACAATGATGGCAAGAGAAAAGAAAATATTTATTGTAAGGTCTATTTTTTGGGTGAGGGTCCTCTCTTAAAAAACAACAAACAAAAAAAAACGTATCTTCTTACCTTTATTTTAAGAAGAAGTCCATGCAAATATCCACAAAAATATATGTTACTCTGTTGTAAAACTGGTGCCAGTTTGCCTTCATTTTTTAAAGTTTGGCTGCTTCAGTGGAGATAATTGCCAAGGAGGAAAGTTGTCCTGGATTGGTTCTATTCTGACTCTTTTCAGTGTTTTTCAATGTGGAGAATGACCTTTCCACAGATGCTGTTGTAGCTGTAGAGTGAGCACCAGCTGGGGTAACTTTGTTGCCTCAGGAACCATCTGCATCAGATTCTACTGCGCCAAAAAGCTTAGAAGTTGTCCAGGAGATTTACATTCATTCCTATAGATTTACCAGACCCCCGCCCCTCAGAAAAATGCACAACAAAGTGCACATTTCATTATCCCTATGGGGCAGCACTGCCCCCTATTGGTGAGGCACGGCACTTTCTGCCTCACCCTGTGTATTTTCACCTTGAAATTATGACCAATTAGAAAAAGAAAAAAAAAAGTCACACATTTATTCATTCAATATATTAGACAGACAGTAGAACATCAACATGTGTAGCACATGTATAATCAAACATGTATATTGGCGATATAAAGAGAGACAGCAATGGGTATGCACCAACTGCCTACTTCATATAATGTATATGTCACAGCGCCACCAGAGGTGAACCAGAGAACTACACTGCCTCACCTCACATTGTTTGAACAGGGGATGTGTAAATTCTGCAATTTTGACCATTGAAGTGTTGAAATAATTCAGAAAACAGTTTTATAAAACATATTTATGGAACAGTTAAGTGGTCAAATGCATTTTCTCTTATCATTGTTAGTATTTTACTTGTCATGATAACAGGTGCAGCACTGCCTCACCTGCCTCCCCTGATTGCATGTCACTGGTGTACACATACTTTTATTTCCTTCGTTTGATAATATGTTGTGGGTGTAAAATTTGGGTAATGCTTCTAGATAGTTTTGTCTTCATGTAGTGCAACTTAGTTCAATAGCAGAGGATTTAAATATTCCTTTTAACTGAAGGATAACAAAAGGAAACTGGTCATCATGGTTATCTGAATGTTTTCTAAAGATTTTGGAGTGTTAAATGTAATTTATAGTTCCCGAGTTGTGAAGTTCAAAAAAGTGTTTGTGAACTTGTGATGTCAAGGGATTTGTGTAGATATGAAAATAATGAAAGTAGCATGTTTTTGAAATAATACATACTACCTTCCACCCTTACATGCCAAATTTTATACAAAGCTCATGTTTGACTTGTTAATGCTTCAAATATGTGTTGGGGATGACTCTCAGCTACTATTACACCAAATAGCTCAAAATAAGTAAAGACTAACTGTATCATAAGCAGTTTGTATTTGATAAAGTTAATTAGCAGTGCCAGCCATCTTAAACCAGTTTGTCTCAAAAACTAATCAGTTGCAGATTTACTGTGCATCCAATATTTACTTTTTGAGAGTTTTCTTAAAATCCATTCAATGGTCATGGTATATTTTGCTAAAAGAATCGGCTTTAACAGACAACCTTTTAAACAAAGATTTTGAAAAAATACAATAATGTGCAGATTAATATATTATGGACTACTCTCAGATGATACCACACCAGCATTGCATACGTATTTATTTTATTTTTATTTTTTTTAAAGTTGATTAGCTGTGATGGTCATATAGATTCAGCTTAATTACAAAATGCATTAATTTGTAAATATGTATTCATTATTACTTTATGAAAGCTTTTTTTTAATTGTCTGTTTCATGAGAAATTTTGCTAAAATCCAGACAAGTGACAACATGCACACAGACACAGACTGTTATGCCACACATGTCACATGCGTCACATTGTGAGCCTCCACGGCAGTGGGCAATGACTCGAACAATAAACAGAAAAATAAATAATGAAAAAGTGCAACAAGCATTTTTGTTGTTGTTGTTGTTGCCACATTTAAAATGTGCTGTCAACCACTGAGGTAGCAACAAAGTAATTACTTTGTTTTCTAGACTTTCATTTCAGTTGACCTGCGATCATACTTTTTTTTTTCTCTACTACTCTTTGTCCAGATCTTGAACAGTAATTTAAAAGATGGGTTTTGAATTTCTGCAAACTAAAATCAAAATTTTCAAAATAGTATAAATTAAATTAAAAAAAAAATCACATATTATATAACAAAGATGAATGGGACTACTTGAAAAGCAGTGCTTTTACTTGATCACTTCAAATTTTAACTATCCATCAACTTTTATAACCAGAGAAAACAATTGTAGGTCAGTTTATGAGGTTCCTTTTGGACTGAAAAGTATAACATTATCCAAAAATGGATTTATTTAGCCAGGAATGAGTTTCAAATGGACCCAAGAATAACGACTGGAACACAAGCTATCCTGATGCATGATCAATAATCCAGGTAGAAAAATCTAACAAAGTACAGTCAGGTCAACAGACTCAGACTGAAGAAGTCTTTTTTGGAAACAAGGCAAAACGTTTCAACAAGAAGAATCCATCAGAGGACCTGACTGTGCTTTGTTTGACTGGAACATAAAGAGTTAAAGAATAAAGTTGGACCTAAATAACAAAAATAAACAGTAGACAGAACGGGAATTTTCATTTCATTTCATTTCATTTATTTTATTCATTTCAAATTAAAACACAGGAAAAAACAATTTACAATCCATATGGATAAAAAAAGACAGAAAAGAAAATTTAAAATGAAAGGAAGCAGAAGAAGAAAAAATCTTATAATAACTGCCCCTTCTTAGACAAAAAATCAATACAAACAATCAATTAAAGCAATAGTCATTCATGAAAACAATTTTTCAACAACTAAACAATCAATGCAATTCATGCATTAGTCAACCATGAAACAAATAATCAACTTATAGTAATATAATGATTTTAAAAACATTTTATATTAACCAAATTACATATATCTTTGCAACATTATACTCTTAATTTTTTTCTTGAATACAGACATTGACTGAGCTGTTTTAACATCAGTTTCCAAACTATTCCATAGTCCTATTCCATGTATCAACGTTGACCGACCCTTTAAACTAGTTCTATATTTAGGTTTAACAAAAATATCAATGCCCTTTAGATTATAACAACTTTTTCTTTTTACAAAAAGCACTTGAATATTTGAGGGCAGTGTATAATGACGTGCTTTATACATTAACAAAAGAATATTATATTCCACCAAATCATAAAACCCCAGCAACTTCATTTTACAAAATAATACACTAGTAGGATGATAGTAATGAGTTTTCGTTATAATTCTTAAGGCTCTTTGAATGAAATGAAAACTGAGAGGAGCATGCAGGCATGAAAACAAGGTTGTGACAGACTGACGTGTGACAGAGACCAAGAGAATCAACGGGCTGCGAGAATTTATTACAGGTGGTTGCAAGTGAGACTAATGAACACGAGGAGCAGATCTGATTGGGTGAGGGCAAATGTCTGATAACACAGGGATACTCTGAGAAACAAAGCAAATACAGTATGTTGAACACCATGACAAAATGAACGGAATCACAACAACACGAATGAAACAAAACAAATCAGCAAACAATCATTAAATAAATAAATAACACACACTTCACAAGACTTATTAGAACATTAGTTGTGGCAAATCTGGCAAACCTCCTTCATCGTGAAGAAGGTGCTGTAATGTTCGTAGTCATCCCCAAACTTTGTCTCCTTGCTGTTTTCCAAATCTCTGAGGTGCTCACCAGTGACCTCACCACTATGAATATGTATGCCATTACACAAACATGTTACACTGCAAATCAAGCCATGCTGGTGCACACCCTTCACCATTACCACCATTCCCAACCCAGATCCCTGATGACACCTCCAAGTTCAACAAACAACACCACCTACAGAGTTTTTGTGCATGTTTTTTTTTTAATAAAATTGAAACCATATTATTTTTATTTATTTATTTATTTATTTTACAGTTGCTCATTCATAAGAAAATGTCTTTTTGTCAGAACTGTTTTCGTAATACTTTGTTTTCAATGGTGACAACTTTACAAAAAGCAAAAGAAAAGCTTATCTATAATGAAATCTGGATGTTTACTCTGTAAAACCAAAACAAAAAACCCACAAAAAACAATATACTAATATTGTTCTTAAAGCTGGTGCTTGTTTTATTTCTTTTAATAATTTTGCAGCTCAGAGTTCTGAATCTCCAACAGCTCAAAGTTACCCTGTCTCAAAAGATACAATATTGATTGAAGTACAGGATAGTAAGAATCTAAAAGGTTCCTAAAGATAAATGTACAGTATGTCACCATAGCTTGAAATTAAGTGTAAAAAGAAAATTTGAATTGATTCATAATCAAGTTTTTTTTTTTGGAAAGGCTCTTTGCTCACGATCATTAACCTATCATGTTTACATTGGTGTCAGAAGCATTTGTGATTTGTGGGGGACACACTGATGGGGGGGGGGGGGGGGGTTCGCACAGAAAATTTTGAATGAAGTAGATGGCATTTCCTGCATTTTGGCATATTTTAACGGGTTGTTAAACATCTACGTTTACCTCCATAAGCAAATACTTACTTCAGTAACTATTCTGGAGAGCACAGCACAAGAAGTACCTTGACCAACAGCTCTACTTACATACAGCACGCTCTGCTTCTCTCATGCACCCCCACCCCAGTCGACAAATAGTGCACAACACAGAGGAGTTATGAGTGGATTTTTAGTGGTTTGAGTTTTCTGTTAATCACGTGGAATGGATTTGTTCATGAACAAATAGAAACAGCCCTGAATGAACTAATATTTCATGGTAAATTGGGGGGGGGGGGGGGGGGGGGGGGGGGGGGGGGCTGTTCAAACAAACCCTTCGCATATAATTGATGTGACACCTATACATGTTTACCTTTCATTTCCATGTACTTCTCTGTCCTTATCCAGGTCCTTGATGTTAGCAGGATTACTTGGATGTCCTACATCTCATTCTACTCGTGTGGAAGCTTGTCTACAGCAGGCAGATCCTCAAAAGATCACAGTCAAACAATACGAAATTAACTTGCAGCCTTCAATATTGGTCATTCCCTTTCCACCTGTAGTTGATGGGAACTTCCTACCAGCAACAGTTGAGGTGGGTGCCTGTGTCTCAGTCGAGGTGAGGTAAGCGGTTTAGTGGTAATATAAAAAGTGGTTCATGATAGTGTGTTAGCCGTACTATTTACTATATCTAACAAGGTTGAGTCAGGTCCTCGGGACAGATTCTTCTTCGTCTTCTTCCAGAGGACCTGACAATCCTGTTAGATCTACTTAGATTATAGCGCATGCATCACGGCACTATACTTGTACTGTGTCACAGACCCCAAAACTGCATTTAAATAGGAACATTCCCCACTTGCTTGAAACACCTTTACAAAAGACAAACTTGTATTTTCCTAGATTTGATTACAAATTTAAAAATGAATACATATATAAATAACTTACTTTTTAAATTTTTTATACTACATTTTAATTAAATGCACATACAACATGTCAAATAAACACCCACTTGTCAATAAAATAAATAATTAAAAAAAAAAACTTAAAAAAATAAAATAAAATTCTATCCTGGAGGTGCATCATCTCCACAGTGTTTCGGGAGGTTGATGCTTTGAAATTCAGTTTTACAATTGTAAATAAAAAAATAAAAAAATAAGTAAATAAATAAAAGTTTAACTAGACTTATTGCAAAAAAGAAGTCCAATGGTTTTGTACCTCTTTATTTTTTTTTACCATGTAGGCTACTAGATGATTGAGAATCTACACCAGAATTTTGCAATTGTGTAAAATTTTCATTACACTTTACAAAACGCTTTAGGTCAACTTTAAGAGCAACAAACACTGTTCTCACACAGTTTACTTTGAGCAGTACAGTACTCATGCGCACCCCGCCACACACACACACACACACACTATCCAAAAAAAAACTGTGTATATAACCTTAACAAATAATAGACACATGCATTTTTAAATAAATCTTGTACATATTCACTAACCAATTAAAAAATGGTGCTGAATCAAACATTACATTTAAACTAGAGTTGAATCTGATAAAACATCAATTAATTATATTCCAGAAAACAGTTGTATTCATTTAAAACTGTGTTCTTTCTCCCAGACTGGCCAAACACATTTCAGGTGACTCTCTTTATTGATGGCGTGCATGTTGACAATTTTAGTATCTTGTAACATGAAAAAATAATAATAACTTGGAATGGGCTCTCACAAGTACCCAAACATCAGATTCCTGAACAGATGTACAATCAAGGCTGCCATTATTTTTAATGGAAAATAAAATGTATTAGAAAAAGCTTTCTGATGGAAATTAACTGATTCTTTATTTTGCTGTTCAATTGAGGAGTTAAGTACAGTAGTCCCTCGTTTATTGTGGGGGATCCGTACTCTGAAGCCCCGTGATATGTGAAAAACCACCAAGTAGGAATAATAGTACAAGTAGTAAATAGTAGCTTAATATATATACAGTATATATATAT